GTTTGTTTGTTTAAGAATCATCTGGGGGAATCTGGTAGAGTTGTTCCCATGTCATTCAGGGGAAACAATGCAATTTGGAGTCAAAAAACCTGGATTCTATTCCTAGCTCCAACATTTACTAGCTGTGTAAGCTTGGGCAAGTTGCTTAACTCCTTTAGGGCCTCAATCTCTCATCTATGGGGCAGCTAGGAGGCACAGTGGATAGAATACTGAGCTTGGAACCAGGAAGACTTCTTCCTGAGTTCAAATGTGGCCTTAGACATTATGTATCACTGTGACCCTTGGCAAGCCACTTAAGCCTGTTTGCCTCAGTTTCCTCATCTGTAAAATGAGTCAGAGAAGGAAATGACAAACCACTCCAGTACCTGTGCCAAGAAAACCCCAAATGGAGTCATGAACAGTTGGACATGACTGAAAACACTAAAAAACAATTCCTCATCTACAAAATGAAAGGGTTGGATTATGATCCCTATTGTTCTTTCCAGATCTAAACCCATGACTCTGTCATCCTATGTAACAGATGGGGAAACTCCAAAAAAAAAAAACTGAGAAATGATGTGGCTTGGCCAAGACTTCAGAACACACCAATAGCTGATGGTTGGAGACCCTGCTCATCAACTTGAGAGCTAAGCATGTGGTCCATGAGCAGCTTTAATAGTTGTGATATGGTGAGAATGAGCTCTAGACTTGGAGTCAATAGCAGTTTGGATCTGAATCCTCTCTCTGGCACATAGTCACAAAGTGACTATAAAAAAAGAAATTTTATACCTCTAAGCCCAAATTTCCTGATATATAAAATGGGGCTAACAATTCATCAAACATTTATGGTATGATGGAAAGAACATTGGCTCTATAGAAAGAGGATGTGATATCAAATTCTGACACTTAACTACCTGTGTCATATTGGGCAAGTCACTTAACCTGTCTGGGCCTCAGTTTCCCCACTTGTAGGTGGCCTCTGAAGTTCTTTTCCATCTCTAGTTCTATGATCCCAAGTGCCTATTGCGTGCAAGGCACTGTACAAAGACAAAAAGTTCAACAGTATCTGCCCACAAGGAGCTTCCAGTCTGTAGGGTATGGGGTGGTGTTGGGGAAATACAACATTTACACAAATAAGTAAAACAGCAGGCAATATAAGGAAGGATAATAATACCTGCAGTATTTTGTGAGGATCAAATGAAGCTATTTATATGAAGCACTCTGCAATACTTAAGTACTATATGTCAGTTATTGTGGTTATTACTATATTATATTACTATATACTTTATTATTACTGATTGATTAATCGTTATGCTCTTTATCACCTGAAATCTCTGTGACTTTGCAATTCATTTACCCATCTTTGCCTCATTTCCCCCTTTTGTAAATAACCAATCCTTCCATCCCATCCTCCTCCCATTGATACTGATAGCCCCTTTCAGATCACACATAGAATTTTGCTTTGCACCTCACCTTTCTGTTTTGTCTCTGATATAGTATATGATAATTATCAATATTCGTGTCTTATTATTTATTCTTTGTATTTCTCCCAAGTTCCTAGTGTGACAAATGAAAAACCCAAAAGACAGAGTTTCTGGGTAATTAATAATCAATTTATTAATTAGGCTAGCCAGCAATCAATAAATTGATGGACTGGTTTCTCTCAGTAACCAAAGACAAAACCATGGAGAGTCTTTTGTAAAAAAGAACGTCCCTGACAAGTGAAAATCAACCCTGACTGGTGGACATTTAACCAGGAAGTGGGCTAGAAGCCTTCAGCTCCTCCTGCTAAGAACATGAGACTCAGTTGCTTACAGCAATCTGGACAAAGGAATCCATCTTCATCCAGATCACTCTGGTTGGTTTTCTTCTTTATGAGCTGAGTCACCTTGAACTTTAATGGAGGGGTACAATGAAAGGGGCTCCTTTCTCACAGTAAAAACTTGCCCACTCTGGATTCTGTTTACACTCTAAACAGAAGTGCCTCCTAATTGGGTGGGGTCCCACCCAAAATTGAAGAGCACATTCTTGAAGGATAGGATAGTCTCATCAATCAGTCATGTCCTTCAGAGACTGATTTCTTACAAGGGCTAGGCCTTAAATGAGGAAGTAAAGGAGAAAAGCCTGGATCCCAAATTAATAATTGGTTATTAATATCACAGTAAAATAATTTCTCTCATTAGTACAGTGCTCTGAACACAGTGGGCACTTAATGTTTGCTTAATTGACCAAAAAGTAGTTATGTGATAGTGGATAGAAGACTGACCTTGGAATCAGAAAGGGAAACATGTTCACATCCTGCCTCCATCACATACTGGCTCCACGCAAGTCCCTTAGCCCACCAGAGCCCTCAGCAACTCTTTAAATTACAGTCTCCATTCTGCAATGAAGGCTAAAATTGTTGTTTAAAAGCAGTGCCTAGATTTGAGAGGTAAAGAAGTCAGCTGAATTTCTCCCCAATTCATCCTCCCCTCCAAAAGATCAATGAGTATCTCTTCAGTTGCATACTGAATTATGTCATTAGTGATGGATTCCTTTAGAACGTAAGTTTGGTGAGGGCCAGGACTGTTTCATTTTTGTCTTTGTATTCCCAGGATTTAGCAAAGTGCTTTGTATAGATATTTGTTAAAGTGAATCCAACAGTGCTTAGCACAGGGCCTGGCACATAGTAGAAGCTTAATAAATACTTATTGAAATGTTTATTGACCGAATGGAACATGTCCCATATTTGAATCTAAATACCACTGGAGGAAACAACAGATAATCACAGAAAATGTTTGAGACAAAAGGAACTTTAGAATATGGATTGACAGAACATAGAGTAGCAACTATGATACCAGATTGGGACCTTAAACATAATATGGTCTAACCTCCTTCTTTTATAAATAAGTAAACTGAATTCCAGAAAGGTTGAATGATTTGCCCGAAGTCATACTTAGTGCCAGAACTAGAACTAGACCCTTATCTTGTGTTTTTACCATGCTGGCACCAGTAAGAATACCTTATCAGTCACTAATACGTTAGTATGAATAAGTATATCAGATTCTTTCCCCAAAGCAGGCTTTGATAAGAACATTAGAGGGAGATCCCTTTCATGGAATAAATCATCCAACCTGTCTTGATGATCTCCAAGCTTCTGACTCTTTTGCAATGACTCCAAAACATAGAGAATGAAGTTGACACATGTGCAAGCAACTTATATCCCTTCCACTTATCCCTTCCACACACTTCTCTCAGGCCACATATTTTGCGGTATCTTTTCTCCTTCATGGCTGCCCTAGGTTTTCATTTTAGCCTGAGTTCACTAGCTCTGACAGTGTGGGAAGGGGAGTGAAAAAGTAGAAAGCATAACTAGTCCAGGAATGCCTACTCTGAAGTGACTAAAGAAAAGTAGAGGGGGTAGAACATGGCATGAGTGCTATAAGTGGGGAGGGAGCACACAGGGGAGACTGCATTGATTATAAACTTCAAAAACTTGGCAAGTTTGACTAGGAGCCATGTGCTACTACTGCAGAAAAGACTTAACAAGAGCCCACTAGGTGTGCCCTAGGCCTCTAGGGAGTCAGTCAAAATACTGCAGGAGAATCTTGCTCTTTACCCTACTATACCAGGTTTATATCTTCTGAGCTGGGGGGGGGGGGACATTTAAGATCAGCGTAAAGTACTCAAATGAGGAAACTGTAATCAAACTAAGACATTAGCAAAATCTCCAGTCTGGAAGGTGAGGTGGCATCACAGGATCCTTCTAGAGGCCGGAGGAACTTTGGAGGTCAGCTGGTCCCAGACCCCTCATTTTACAGATAAAGAAATTAAGGTTCACACAACAGACAAGACAAAGTCAAACGGAGTGGTAGAAAACGGATTTAAACCCAGGTCTTGTGATTCCTTGGCAATTCAACCAATTCAACAGATGTTCATTAAGTACTTACCCCAAAGGGAATGCCTGGCCAGGTACCTTGCTACTCATCAAAGTCTAGGAACTAGGATGGGTTAGTTAGGATTGTTCAGAGCAAAGTACCAGGCTCCACATAAAATACAAATTTTAAGACTAAATCCCAACCTTTGAATGGAGCCTTACAGTCTACAAGATTGATTAAATCCACTTATTAATCAGCATTTATTATGTGCCAAGCACAGTACTAATATAAGCCCAAAAATTAAAACATTCCCTTCCTGCAAGGAGCTTACAAACTAATGGAGTCCAGTAGGAGGAAGACATGACGGTACACACATAACCGTAATACAACATTATACTTGGGAAGTTCGTGTAAAGATCAAGTGAAACGGTATGTGAGGTGGGAAGGGGAAAGTTCCTTACCAACCGGGCAGTCTGGGAAGGCTTCCTGGAGGGGGTGACATTTGAGTTGCGCTTTAAGGGATGGGCAGGAATTTAGTGAGAAGAGGACGATGGCAAGCAGAATCCAGTGATCTTTTCATGCTTCCCTCTGCTGTATTGGAAATCACAGAGAGGCGGTGCAAAGCCGACTTTACGTTGGGGAGGAGGAGGCTGAGAGAAAATGTGTTTAGGTTGTTACAAGTTTGGAGCACGATGGAACGGGAAAGGCTAAGTTCTCTCGGGGGGGAAAAATAGGAAGGGGGTGGCACAGATTTATGAGAAGATTAGCAAAAGCAGGTGGCACCTGCAAGGGAAGTGTGGAAGGACGGAGCCCTAGCTCCTCAAGCCACCCATGCAGAAGCAACATTAGGTTCGCCACGCAGCGGTCGACTTCAGCCTTTCATCAAGGGACTGAGAAGGAGCGGAGTCAGAGAGAAGGAAAGGGGAGGAGAAAAGAGGAGGAGGGACAAAACGGAGAGGGAGAGAACGGGGAGAATGGGGGGAGAAGGAGGAGGAGAAGGGGAAGAAATTGGGGAAACGGGAAAAACAAGAAGAAAGAGAGGAGGGAGAGGGTGGAAGGAGGGGGCAAAGGGGAAGAGAAGGCGGAAAGGGGGAAAGAGGGAGGGTGGGGAGGAGTAAAGAAGGGGAGGAGAGAAGGAGGGGGGAGGTGAAGGAGGAGGAGCCGGTGGAGGGAAACCGGCGGACGCTGAGCTACCCCCTGCCCAGCACACGCGAGCACACGCATACACATACACACACACACACACACACACACACACACACACACACACACACACACACACATACACACACACCAGCGCGCGCGCGTCCTCACTGCCACTACCCGCCGGGAGGTGCAGAGATGGGAGCAGCCCACTCGCTTCCAGTGCCCACACCTGTCTGAGCGCGCCCGGGCGCACGGAGCTGGGTCGGGGCGCAGGGATGCGAGGCACTGGGTGAGTATGCTTCTGGCCTTAGGGAGAGGGGAGGTAAACTGCGGGCGGGCAGGGGGGCAAGCAGGCCGTTCTGAACAGCTTCTGGACTCTGCTCCACTCTGCTCTCCCCCTGGAATTCCCAGCCCAGCCCCGCGCTCTGCCCTCCTTAGTTCCCCAACCGAGTAAAGGGAGACCTGCAGCAGGGATTGAGCTCCTCTTGGAAAAGGCCATTGCCCGGGACCTGCTCCGGGGCCGGGCGGGGCGGGGCAGTTCCAGGGAGCTAGGGGGCCCACCCGCTGAACTGCGGCTGGAAACAGGACAAAGGAAGGGGGTGAGTGCCGCTTGACTGACTGACAGGCAAGTCGACTGACGGACCTACGAGCACACACAGAGACAGACGGACAGATCAATTTCTGGCAACAAACTGGGAATGCTGCCCCGTCACTGCTTCTGTGTGCCCACCGGTCAGCCCATGCCCAGAGGGAACCGTACGACTGACTCAGGAGTTGCTACAGCTCCGGGAAGGTTTAAAATGGAATATACAGTATCCCATTTCTCACCATTTAGCTAAAGAAAGGGAATTTTGTGTGCTTACTTTTTTGTTTTTGCTTTTTTAGTACGGGTGAAGCGGAAAGTTATGCTGAACAGAGGCGGTGTGGTCCAGTGGAAAGAGCCCTGGACTGGGTGGCAGGAAGGATATCTTAGATCTAGGCTTCTCTGCCGCTAACTTGTTGTGTGACCTTGGACAAAGCATCACACACACACACACCGCCTCAGTTTCCTCTTCTGTCAAATGGAGGGAGGAGTTTTGGAGTAGATCTTCTGTGAGGCGCCTTCAGACAATCTAGGATTTGAGAAATAATCCCGAGGATGATCGTTCTTCATGTGAGCCGATAAAGATAGCGGGCATGAGGGGAACTCTATTGAGGTCAAGGTGTAAGTGGGTGAATGCTTTCAAAAATACACTTTTCCCTTTTTTATTTTGTTCCCTCTCTTCAGTTTGTGTGTCTGTATGTCTGCGTGTGTGTGTATGTGTGTGTGCAAGTGCTTATTTTTACAAAGTGCTGTGGGTCTATGAGTGGAAATTAATGTTTAACTCTCAGCACAAGATTGTGAACACACCCTAGTAGAAGAAGAAAAGTTGAGGCTTTGATTTCCTGCCATCAAGAACTCCTGTCAACATATTATCAACAGTTGCTGGAAGCGAAGATTTTTTTTCGGCTGTAACCGTTTCTCATGGGTTGTTAACTTTTAAATAGAAAGCAGGAGAGCAAAGGGGAAGCAGTGGAGAGAGACTTTAAAAGAGCTGGACATCCCCCTGAAGTGCACCGTTTAGAAATACAAATAGGCTCTGGTCGATTATCTCCTGAGAAAGCAGCTGATAAAAATCATGTTTGTTTTATTTCCCATTGGGTGACACCCACGAGACTTCAGAAACAGCCACCGCAGCTGGTGAAAAGTCTGCCTGCTCATAAAGGAGCAATGTTGATGTACGAGATTGTTGTACCCTGAGGTCCTAGAGCTCAGAAGTAACTCTGAGCCTTTAAATTCTTAAGAAGGAGATATGCTAATGTCAGAGTGACCTTTTTAACTTGCAGGGAATAACGATGAGGGAAGGAAAGAAGTTGCATTTCTTTTTTCAGGTTAGACTCAGCAGCAAGCCCCAAATGTCACACACTCTGTTCACATAGCTCTTATCAATCGTGTATTTTTTTTAGGGTAGCACTTGTGTACATTTGTCCCTGTGTAATAGTGCTGACCTTCCCTTCACCTAGTGTGTTTGAAGTGTGAGTTTAAAATAGAGTATATTTGGTGGGGGAGGGGAGGGGGTGGAGGATTATCTAAAACAAATTATTTAGGAGAGTGAACATATTTGTAAAAACTTTAGTTTCCTGCCTATAGATACTCTGTAGTTTTGAAATTGCACTGCACCTTCCACAAAGCCAAGTAACAATAACAACTCGGTGCAGTCTTTCATGGATTGTGAAAACTTTTTTTTTCTTTCACCAAACTCAGAAGCAACAGAACAATTATATATCTCATTTGGGGAACATTCCACTGCTTATCCGGTTCAATTCAGAATATGAATGCATTTTGTCCTCCCTAGAGTATGTGCCAAAATGCCCATTAGTGTGTGTCCGAGCAAGCTGCTGCTGCCGGAACCCAGTCGGCCACTAGTAGGTGTTAGGTTTTCTAGCTCATTGATTTTTTTATGCCCCAAGGATGAAAGGCTTCAGGCTGAGTTCATGCAAAACTCCCTTTGATTCCTAGGAGACGTTTTTGGGGGGTCTTACCTGTGAACAAGTTTTGTAGTCTCTAGTTTTTTCACACCAGCTGGGTCCTCAGACTTGAGCCATCGATTGGGCTCCTCTTTGGCACAGAAGAAGTAAGACCTTGTTTAACCATTCATTATCATCCTTTAAATTCTGTATTTTCCTGTGCAAGGTTTTCTGCTATTCTTAAACCATTACATGGTTGGGTCTGCTTTCCTTTAACAGGTTCTGACTCAGAAAAAAACGAGAGTAAGCCCCCCTCTCTCTCTGCTCTTGTTCATTTCAGGTATTTGCTTTTGGAACTAGCCTGCTTTTTAACTAACTGGTCTATGCCCCTGGCCTCAGACCCCATGGAAAAACTTTCTTCATCTTTCCAAACTATAACCACAACATTTCTCTTTACAAAATTTTACAGTTTCTTTCAGTAACTACTGTTTTTACAGTGGTTATAGCACATTATAAGGTGCATAATTAGAAAACTCTTACTAAGCATTAAATTTTCTCTCTAGTACTTGTTTGCCATTGGAAGAAGGTTAATTCATTTCTCCAAGTATTTGGCACAGATGAAGTCTGTGTTGTGGTAGCTAGGTTTGCTCTCAAATTTGCCATCAGGTTTGAATTTCCATGGATCTGTATATATTAACTGGTTATTGTATAATTTGGAGAAGTTGTTATTCCCAAAGAAACATTATGTCTTTACTATGATTTCAAGCAAGTAAACTGACGGACTTTAAAAAAAAAGTTGCCATCAGGATACTGAGAGAGTAAGATTGCAGAGACAGGAGGGAATAATCCCAGCTCTGTAAGGGCTATGAGACCAGAGCAAGTGTCTTAACCCCTGTGTGCCTTAGGCAATTCCCTAAAATGTATTTATGAACTCATAGAGAATTGCAATAACTTGAGGGGAGTTTCCCAATCTGCAGAAATCACAGATGCTCCTTGAATGCAGGTATAAAAGGGACAGAATTGAGTGGTACAGTAGCATAGTTGCTGGCTGTAGAATCCAAGGCTATAGGTTGAAAGCCTATACCTGTGTGACCTTGGGCACTTTATTCTTTCCAGACCTCAGTTTCCTCATCTGTATAATGAGGGAATTGGACTATGCCTGTAAGGTCCCTTCCACCTCTAAATCTATGATTCTGTGATGCTGTCACAGTTACATATGTTAAATGAGTCAGATTTATAAATCTAGGAAAGTAAAATTTTCTGTAGTACAGGATGTTGCATTGAGAAAATATTTGCTTAGCTAAATTTTCCATTTTGCTTCTCCTTTGTCATTATAGATAAAGTCCTATATGAAAGTACTTAGTGAGAAATATTGGAGTGTGTATGTAAGTGTATCAAGTAACTACTTCTGGCAAAGCCGTGGACTTGGAAATGAAACCACACAGACCACAGTTTTCTTCACGAAAACTTGGATAGATTGGTCATAAGATTTGGAAATTGTCATTCTTTCTATAAAGCCTGCTTTCCTTTGCTATAAGATAATTTATTCAGAAGCATCTCTTTAGTCTCTTTCTTATTTTCTTTAACCAATGACTGGCCGCTTTGATGCTGAAATTGGAAATACGGTTGTTACAATCCTGTTTAAAGCTTTTTTTATATCAGCATAATCTTTTATAAGTGGACAAGTAGGTCTACCTAGGGTTAATTAAAATGGAAACAATGGTCATTTGTCCCCTGGTGACTTATTCTTGGAGTGATGGGATTTGTGTGTTGACCATGGGCAAGTCACTTAACCTCTATGCTAGGCAACTAAGACTCAAAGTTTCAAAGAAGGTAGTGATTTCACCTGGTGATTTCACTTATATCTTTGAGATAACAGGCTCCATCCCCTTTCTTGTCCCTTTTGTCTTTCCAATCAATCAACAAACTTTAAAGGTACTTGCTCTGTTATAAGCCTAAGGATATAAATGCAAAAGTGAGACAATTCTTGCCTTGCAAAAGTTTAGATTTGACTGAGAAGATCCAACAGATCTTCCTAGATCCAGAAAGTAAATAGAGTATAGATAACAAATAAAAGTGATGGAGGCTTTGGGGGGGGGAGCACTAACAACTAGGGATGATCTGAGCCTCAGTTTCTTTATCTATAAAATATTGGCAATACTTACTTGGTAGGGTGCTGTGAGAAGAGATTTTTGTAAACTATAAGGCAGCCTTTATGTGTAAACTATTACTATTATAACAATAATTGATGTATGAGTACCTGAGGAGAAGCAGATATCTAGAGCTGGAAGGAATCTTAGGAGCCACCTAGAATGACTTTCTCGTTTTTCTCATATGAGGAAATTAAGGCCACAAACCTAGCTTCTGGTCAATTCAAAGGTCATGCAAAATAATAAGTAGCAAAGGTCTTCTTACTCCAAATTCAGCCTTAACCTTCTTTCCACTGCACATCTCCAGTCAGTGAGTGAGTGAGTGTATGTGTGTGTGTGTGTGTGTGTGTGTGTGTGTGTGTGTGTGGTAGTCACAATGAGTATCAGTGTGTTACAAGGAGCTTTGGGGGCAGGGATGCATCGATTTGGGGAAATCCTACAGTAGACAGATAAATTATTTTCCCTAAAGTACATTTTCTTAGGCATATCTAAGCATAACCTTCACATCCCTCCCTTCACATTCCTGATAGCTGCCCTCTGCTGGATGAAATCTGCAGGTTTTCTGGACAAATTGAGGAAGCCAGATCACCTGCAGTGTAGGATAGGTTAACAATGTAAACTTTCTTTTTTCCTGCTGCCTCCACCCTCTATA